ATGTCATGACTGTGCATACACGTATTGTCATGGAAAGAACTTCAATATAAGGTCATAATAAAAGCCAATGAAGAGGAAAACAGGGCTAACAAAAAGATGGTCTTCAGTTGGCACTGGGGTTATGGGCATGTAATTCCGGTGTGGCTCCTCAGAATTTCTTAGGTGTTCAGGTTATGCAGGGGTTACAAGCACCATTTTAATATTTTAATATCACTCTATTACTTCTCTAACATTTTCTTCCTTGGGAACTCATAGCAGAGGGAAAATCACTTAGGTGCTAAATAACCATCCCCATCTTCAAATTAGGTGAGATGGTAAGATAATAGTGAATTTTCCCATTTTTTGAGATAGTAAGACCTCAGTGGGTATTTTGATGCCAACTATTTATCAATATTTACCTAATTTTTCTGTCCTACAACATCAGTATGTTTATCTAAGACTTTAAAATCTATATCTCTAATTTCTAAAATAATGCAATTTCCTTAGGAGCACTTTTCCTACCATTTAGGAAATGCCCTTCTGATCTAGACTTTAAAATAAAATAATAGGTGAAAATCTGGCCCAAGATACCTAGGATCTCTTTCCCTCCAACCTTTCCTTCCCCTGCAAATGAACATGCCAAGTCTGGTGCTAAATATAAAGTCTCCAAATGCTCCTCCTTCGAGGTGAGTACTAGAAACACTTTTAGGTCAGAGGAATCATGTTCCATGGCTAATTCAGTATTCACTGCTGGTAGAGTGGATAACAAAAATGTGTGTCTGGGAATACGGCAATGTTGGCTGCAAAGTGTCTTCTAATCACAGAGACAGGGCTTCTATTCCCAGGAATTGTGGATAACTTATACTGGACTAATATTACCTCTCTGTACAAGGAAGTAGACAAAACTGGCCAGAATATGTGAGGCAAACAGTTTCTAATAGTACACAACAGACAATGCAAGTTTGCAATCCCCGAGAGAACGGAAACTCACAGGGTGAGCCCTGTAGTCAACCAGCCCTTTCCCTGGGAAGAATTTCCCAACCATGGTATAGGCTGTAAGCTGAGCAGAGCAAAGAAGTTCTGCTGAGTGGAGAAAGCAGAGATCAGAGGGTGAGGAAGCTTAAGTAGCCGGATCTGTAGGGCAGGGCATTGCAGAAAAGGATGCTGTGAAGACAGAGGAGCCAGAAATGCTAGTGGAGGTCTCCCACAAGTCTGTAGCCAACAGCTGTGCTGTGCTTGTGCAGGAAAAGTACCCCCACACCCTCTCCCCCCGAAAAGCTAATGAGACAGCAGCCATAATGGGGCTGAGAGAGGCACAGAGATACTAGAAGTTAAGCAAAGGGTGCTGGGTGACATTAATCTCATTAACACCCTCAATATCTTGTTAACATGCCTGGAATTCAGCTAAGGCATTAGGGAGAATGTGTCTTAGGAGTAAGAGTCATGCCCTAAAGTGAGATCCTGGACTACTCCTAACACAGCCTAAATCAAACCCTAATGAGATCTTCAGGGGAGACAGAATTTGGAGTTTGAACTCCTTCAGACTAGAGGGGCCTGAGAAAATCTTGAACTTTCCATAGAACTGTACTAATAAAGTCTAATACAAGCCTATACAAGTTCAAGATGATGAGTCACTAACTGAATATTACCCAAAATGTTCAATATTCAATAAAACACCCATAGACATACAAATGAAAAGAAAAATGTAACCTAGAGTCAAGAAGAAAAGTGAACAGCCACCAAACTCAAGACAGCCCAGATATACTTAGTAGATAAAGATTTTAAGCAATATAATAATTATGTTCAAATAATTATAGAAAAATATGGCTTCAATGAGTAAACAGATAGGGAATCTCAGTAAAGAAATACAACTCAGCAGAGAAATTAAGAGTCAAATGAAAATTCTGGAACTAAAAATTCTTACAATCGAAGTGAAGAGTTCTCTGGATGAGCTTAACAGACTGGAGAGGGCAGAAGAAAGAATCAGTGAACATGAAGACAGATCAAAATAAAGTATTCCATTTGAAGAACTGAGAGAGGAAGTTTGAAGAAAAATGCAGGGAGCCTCAGGACCTATCCTCTGGGGTAGTATCAAATGGTTAACATATGAGTAATTGGAGTCACAGGAGGAGAGAAAATGAGATAAGGCAAAATTTTTAAAAAATAAAATAAAAAATAAAGACACTGGAGCACAATCTGCCTCCTGGATCCACCTTCTGTTCCTGGTTCTGGCCTGTGGGGCCACAAAGAATGTATCTCATCTTAGTCCTTCAAAGAGCTTTCAGATACTGCCTCTCCTGAAGACATTATGATGTACTAGGGGCATGCCCAGCAGTGGGTAGGAGCCTTGGGGCCAAAAAAATTTCTCCCAGCTTTAAGCTCAGTGGAAACCTGGGTTTCTCACAACAAAGGCAGCATGGTGAGATAGGAAGTGCAGGGGTCTCCAAGGCAGTTAACTTTTAAATTTATCTGTCTACGAGAAATCACTTTATAATTGGTAATGATTTCTCTGTAATCACACGTGTGCTTGGGAATTCTTATGAAGTGAGAAAAACCCTACCTACAAACCATTTCTAAAATGTAATAATAAAATTTTAATGAAAGCTAAATTTAGCCACTAATGAAGTTGACATATTCATGTGTCTCATAGACGTTAAATGTTCATTTTGATTTTGCTGTTTTCTTTCCATGTATCACAGCTTATAATTTTTTTTCAGGTCTTAAAATTTTTCTATTGGCAAGCCACCCTCCATGTGCCACATTGCCTCCTGAGCCTCCTCCAGTACTTCTGGCCTCATTCACCCCAAAGGAAATCTGATGGTATTACTCGAACTGAGCCTTTGCAATGGCTCCCTGCCATGTACAGAGCACAATCCATGCTGTTTATAAGGCACCCAAAGCCCTTCATGAACTTCCTCTCCCTCCCTAGCTTCCTCCAATGCCTGCTTTGCAATCGACACCCCAGTGAGCCAGTCTTCCCTGTTCCTGCACACACAGCAGATTTTGCCCCCACCGCCGTGGTTGGAATGTCTATTACAGGCAGCCTAAGGAGGTCAAGGGAAAGAAATACTACAAAGAATTAGTTTTGTTGTCAGATTTGAAATATTTTAGCCTATTTCCCCATATTTTGACAATTCTTGGAAACTGCCTGGTATGTGTATTTCTCTTGGCCTTAACTTTCTCAGAAGGGGAGAGAACAAAGCAAATAATACAGGACCTGCAACCCAGGCCCTCACCCGCCTCCGTACTGGCAAGCCTCATGCCCGGCTCCTGCATTTGCTTTGCTTGGAACATCCCTCCCACTAATGGCTAATTCACTGTAACTCATCTTTTGATGTTTAGCTCAGATGTCATTTCCTCCAGAAAGCTTTGCCTGAAACCTGAGCACACTTTTTTGGAGTTCCTGCCGCCACCAGCCTTGCAGGTCCTGGCGCATTCGGTTGATATTCCTTCTTACACCTGTCTCTCTGAATAGACCATGTCTTAGTTGAGCCAAACTGACCTAAGATTTGTCTCAAGATAAAAGATTTCTTTGTGTTAAAGCAAAATACGGCTCAAAAGTCATTCCTTTTAATCCATAATTTTGGAGAGGGCACAAGAAATTGGAGACTATGGTAATAGTTGTCAAAGCTGGATTCCGATTAGAATCAAGTCAAAGCCTCACCCAGGGACTCAGACTTTACTGAGCTCAGTGCATTGCTGTCATGGTTCTCACAGGCATCCAAGGCTGAGGCCCGCTGGGTGGTAGTAAACTCAGCTCCCAGATGTCAGGGCAGGCTCTGAAGAGGTTCGGCTGACACGAACTGGAGGGTTTTTACACTTGAAATATGGCATGTGGTGGAAAGTACCCAGGCTTTAAATCCCTAATTGTGTGACTTTGAGCAAGTCACTCATTATTTTAAAGCCTCAACTGACCCCAGAACGAAATAGAAAATCTGAACAGACAAAGCAAAGCAAAACACAAATGAGACACCACGGCCAACAAATAAACAGCAGCCAGCTTCCCCTGCGGCTGGAGCCCAGCTTCCATGCTCTGAACACGGCCCAGGGTCACTGGGATTAATCTGTCTCCCTCTGTCCCGAGCGAACGACGAGGCAGCTTTGGGACTGCCGGCTCTCACTCTGCGGTTCTTTACTCTCAGGCTGACAGTCCACCCGGTTACCCTAAAGGGCAGGTCTGACCTGTTTATCATGGAAACTCTGCGGTGGGAGATTCAGGCCCACAGAGAGCAAACGGTGCTGGGGGCCACGGGACTGGGTCTCTATCAGAAACGCTTTCTGAGGGAAGTTTGTTCCAGATAAAAAGAGGCTGTTGCCTTATAGACACCAGAGGACTTTTAAGGCCCTGATGGTCAGGACCAGGCCAGGCTGTGATTTCGGGTGCCCATGGAAAGACTCCCGCCCTGCCCCAAGTCTCCCATCAGCAGAGTGAAAACAAAACGTCTCTTCCACACCGCCACAGAAGCGTGACCTGGGAAACTCTCTGGAGAGGCACGCAGTCAGGTTTTGCTGTCAATCAACGAACTTTGATCATTTGCACTAGGGTGTGCATGGCTGCCTAGGATTCTAGGGGAATGCGGGGGGAACTGGCAGCACTGTCCACTGCACTCTCAAAGAGGGGCTGGGGCAGCAGGTACAGACTGAGGCAAAGGGACAGCATGGGACATGGGGACTCTCCGGACAGCCAGCCCCACTTGGGGCAGCAGTACTTGCCCCCACAGAGCACCCTGGTTCTGTGTAAGGGGGCTTCCCAGCATAGGGTGCCACAAGCTCTTTCTGGAAGAGATGTTGCACATGTGCTTCCCCTACACATTCCCGAGCAGAACGACCACCAGGGGGCCATAACCCTTCCTTAGGGATACTGCCTTAATTTAACGCTTCCTTTCCCTCCCGAAGCCTTCTGGTCAATGGGTGTCCCGGGAAGCTTTCTCGGCTTGCTTGATTGTTACTAGGTTAGTGAACACAGAAGCGGGAGAGAAGCCTTTGCGGGGAGCTGCGGCCCCGCTGCAGGCGGCCCCTACCATGTCGCTCTGTGACTGAGTGGCCCCGTACGCGGCCATTCCGTTGGAGGGTGCGGCTGGCTGTGGGGTGTCAGGCTGGATGTACCCTCTTCTGTCAATTAGGCTACAAGAGAAAACAGAACAACGCAGGAGACAGTGAATAAAAAGCTAAAGACATCATCAACACTTTTAATTTCCACCTCGGTGGGGGGTCTTCCTTTCTGTGATGGACCCTCCAGGCACCTTGGAATACACCTCCGCTCACCTTCACGTGTGGTCAGGCTCCAAAGTGCATCACTTTTGCCCTTCAAGACGCTTATAGCATCTGTTCCCTCCCTGCCACCTGTTGCAGGCCCCCATGTTGTCCTCAGGCCTCACCTCCACCAGTCCCTGCCCTCCGGTCCCGTCCTCGGCTGTAGGGCCGGTGTTCTTCCTGACGCCATCCTGATCACATTACCCCTCCTGCCAGCATAGCCTCCATCAACTACCAGCGGAGGCCAGACCTCTGTGCTTGGCCTTCAGGCCTCACACAACCCATCCCCAACCTTCCTCTCCAGCCTCAGATCCACATTGTATCACACACATGGCATTCGCAGCATAGTTTCTTCAAATAGCATGTCTGAGCACCTGCTGTGTGCTCTTGGGGAACAGAGGTAACTGCCTGCTGCGCACTCTCGACTTTGCATCTCTGTTACTTTTGCTCAGGCTCTGGCTTTTCATTGCCAAAACCCCTCCACTGTCTGTTCTTTGTGCTCTTGGCCGTATGTCTGCTTTCCTCCCTCATCTGGCTTCTCTAAGCCCTGCCTATGATCCCCGATTGCACAGATCACCGCTCACCTGGTGTCATGGTGACCAGATGAGTGTCTCTGCTGAGCAGCCAGCAAGCTCCTGAGGGCCGCCTTTATCTTATCTCCCCGATGGCACCTGCCTCAGGGGGATTCGGTCCCTATGTCGAGCCCTCGGGGCGCCTTGGGCACCCGTATCACATCGTGCTGGCACGTCCATGTCCACGTGCATCTGTCACGGGGTGTAAGCTCCACCAGGGCAGGAGGGGTCTTGTGATCATCATACAGCTACAGATGACTCCCAGCAGGTGCTGAGCAAATGCTTGCTGATTGGATGAATGAAAATGGGTCCCCAGTCTCCCACAGACAAGTTTTCTGAATAACGCTTCTTGTCTTTACTCCATGGCCCTGCTGCCCAGGTAGAAAGTGGGGGCAAAGCTTTACTTTGCCACCAGAAGAGCTGCCTTTTTTCCTCCCTGGGTGAAGACTCCGTGTTGATGGGTTTAAGGGCAGAACTGTGGAGGGGAACAGGAGGTTCCCCCCATATGCCGGCCTCCCACAGTGGCCTCCCATGGTTTGGGGCTGGGCCACACTCCCAGCAGCCTCTGTGGGATGCCCTGAGCACATCCACATGCCCACGTGCTCCCCCTCCTGCTCCACGCATCAGCTCTGCTTTTAGAAGATCAGGGTTATCATCCCAGCTACCACCTTCAGGTCTTCAAGTGACAGGCTAACAAGCCATTAAAAAAGACTTGTGACAGGATCTGGAAGTGGGACTCTCTCTGCTTCTGCTTTGAAAAAACAAGAGGCCACAAGAACCTCCATCTTCCAAAGGGGAGGTGCTGGACCCCCAACGCGGGACCGTCAGAGAGGTTCTCAGACCAAGTCTGCAGCCGCCTTCAAGGGTACAAAAGATTGAAGGTAAAAGAGCAAAGGATGCCTTGGGGAGAGGGGTCACCTGCTCCTGCCGGGTGATGAGAGCGAGGCGGGGGGCTGGTGAGGTGAGGGCGGGGGCTGGGCGCAGTCCTGGGGAGAGAGCCGGTGTGGAGCTGGCTGGAAGGGGCATGTCGGGGGTCAAATCGTATCCCCCCAAAACGTACGTTGAAATCCCAGCAGGGGTGTTACCTTTCAGTGAACTTTGAAGTTATGATTCACTGAAATGACACTATTTTACAGGAAATGAAAGTGCCCTGAGTCCTTTTTTTTCCCCCGCAACTGACAGGAGAAATTAAGGGACTTGCAGAGGATTTTATCCAGGAGCAGAAAAAGAACCAGGTCACGAAGAGTCTGAAGGGACAGCAGGGATTATACAGAAATTTCTCGGCCTGCTTCCTATGCGTTCAGCCTGTTGAGAAGTACCAGCCATGCACCAAGACTGTGACACTCTGTCTCAAGTCCCCTCCTGGCTCTCATGATGGCCCCCCTGAGCTCATCTCAGTTTCTTGCTTCGCCCCTCAAGATCCCCCTCACTCCCGCCCACAAACTCCCCCAGTTCCTCCTCTGACAAGCCAGGCTCCCCCCTCACCTCTGGGTCTTCGCACATGCTGGTCCCTGTTCTCCCACAATTCCTTTCCTCCAACTCCTCCTGATCCTTTGGAAGAGATCACACCTTACACCCCTCCTCTGGGAAGCCCTCCCAGGTGTCCCAGAGAACCTGCACCCCGACCCCATCACAGCCCCTCCGGCCGAGCAGGCTTGCTATTGATGGGTTGATGGGCCTGTGTTGTTGACGTTTTCTCTCGTGCGTCCTCAGCCCCCCAGCACACAGCATGTGCTCATTAACAGCGGCCAAGAGGATTCTTTCAACTGGTCAACCCACAGCTCCAGTCCATAGGCCCTTACCCTGACCACATCTTAGGACTTTTTGTCTTTCCAATCTTCCATTCCTCCTACCTGCCCTGTTAGGAGGGCCCCCTTCCCCAAACCTGGCTGTCCCCACTCTGCTGCCCCACACCTCTGGGGACATTGTGCAGGGAAACGACTGTGGGTCTTCACCCTCATGGTCTGGACCTCTCCTGGGAGAACACAAAGACACACTCATCCTTCCTCACGAGCACATGGTTACATGGCTTAAGAGTATTTTAGAGACAACTCAGGCACACGATGCTGGACACATGGGTGGTCCTCAGCCCCTGTCTGAAGTGAGGGATGCTGGTCACTTGACAGGTTCGTCTGGGACGCACAAAGACAGCCCTGGCCCTCTCAAGGGCACGGAGGGTGGGTGAAGCAGGGCAGAGAGAGGAGAGGGCAAAGCAGGGAGCAGCAAAGACAAGCACTGTCCCCTCCTCACCTCTGCCGGGAACAGCTCTGGGGAGCGGAGCCTGAAGGCAAGCAGGAGGACAGCGTCCCATCTTCCCTGCACAAAGCTCTGAGTGGTTGAGCTGTTCCAAGGGCAGGGCCATCCCTGAGAAATGCCCCATCCAGAGGGACTTGGATTTGGGGAAGAATACAGCCCCGGCTCAGCCAACACAGCAAATTCAATCCAGTTGTGGAAAAAATCATTTCGGCTATGACAAGATTTGATCTATAAACAATACAGAGCAGTGCCAAGTGCAAATCAAAGACTTGGGAACAAGAAGAGAGATTTGGACAGAATGTGAGAATTTAAATTCCTTTCCTAGGTTCAGATGTCTATTTCAGAGACGGGGAAAGACACTTTTGCCTCTTTGACCCTGTGTTTCATGGCCTGCTCCCACCATCCACAAAGCAACACACACCAGTAGGAAACACAAGCTAAATTTGAAAAACCAAGCATTTCCAGAGGTTTTTTCTGGTCTAAAGAGCCCCCAGAGGGACTCCTGGGTGAGTCTGACCAGAGTCCTTGGCTGCCCCTCTGGCCAGGCCCTCCTCAGAGGCCTCGGAGGGACAGGCGGGGCCCCCAAATTCAGGACGAGAGCAGCCCACGGGGCTCCCAACTTTCTAGACCCAAACTGGAAAACAATTTCCAATTACCCAATAGCACCAGTGACTATACCCCAGTACCAATTAACAAATGGCCTTGGAATATATGCTTGATTATTTTTGTGGGGTGGTGGGCATCACTCTTCCTTCCCTAATGAAGTTTCACTGAGGCTGGTGATCAGATTCAGTTTGCATTCCATGAGCACAAACCAGTGATGTCTGGCCATGTAGCTCTCAGGAAGCAGTGGGACTGCTGTGGAGAAAGCCCAGTGGCTTTTGTGGTTTCTCTTCATTTACACAGTTAGAAGCCAAGAGGGAGGAAGGCTTGGAAACACATTCTAGCGACCTGGAATACTTACTCACTACAAAATTTTGATGATTGTTTGGCTAATCCGTTGGAAATATTCTACATGGGTGTAACTCACAAATAATCAAGAATTGACTGTATTTGGCATAATTCTGACTCGGAGGCAGCATTGTACCATCAACACACACACTGGTTCTGATGTCCAAAGCCTGGGTTTGAGTCCTGACTTGGCAACATTTACTAGCTGTGTGATCTTGGGCATGTTATTTAACCTCTCTGTGCCTCAGTTTCCACATCCATACAATGGGATTAATAGTACCGATCTCATAGGTACAGAGTGAGGTTTTAAAAGTTAATCCATGTAAAGCACTTACAGCACAGCCTAATGCTATTCAGTAAATTTCAGCCACTGCGACTGTTAACGTTACTGCTGCCTTACCACCACCATCTCAACTGCTCCCACCCACAAGGATGGCTCCCTCTGAACTATTACAGCATTTATATTCTGTACAGCTCAGCTCTTAGCACTTCTTCCTACAGTTTCCTAATTGCCTCCTACGTCGTGTCCTGGGTTCCTTAACAGAACTCCCTGCTTATCACGGACGTTCAACATCATCCAGTCATTCCTGGGTCACGTGCCTCAGTCTCCCTATTTTGATCCTGAGGAGACTTTCCCCAAACTTGATTCCAATTCAGTGGAATGTTAGCCCAAGCATCACACAACAAGCAGAGCACAAGCCGGATCTCTACTGTGTTAAGGCCGTGTCTCCACAGCAGGAAGCAGAGCGCTGGCCTGGCTGGCGGTCACGCGGTGGCCGGGTCCCTGCCGCCTGAGGCCGGTGCCAGCACAACCAGGCTGTGTGCTTTCCCCAGATCCGTTAAAGAAGGTCGCACTGTCTGAATCTTACCTTGGAGAGATGGGCCCACAGAGGGCAACACAGCAATTTGTAAAGATATTTCCGTAGCTGTAGGGGTTGTAATTTTCTTTACCTCTTTTATTTGACCAAGATCCTTTAATCTGAAAGAAAAAGACAGTCAGTGACACACTATCCCTCACACCAATGCCGCAGTTCAGGTGAGTCGGACCGTGAGAAGCCCACAGAGAGTGCAATGGTCTTTCCTCGTTTCTTCAGCAGGAGAAACTGAGGTACTTTTCTCAAGGAAAACTGGCATTTACCTCAAATTTGGAAATACCCCAAAACAAAAGGTCAGACTGGGGAGAAAGGAACATTCTGTGAGGACAGTAATCTCTTATTTCTATTACATAGTATTTAAAGGCCAGCTCACAGAAGTCAGTGGAGAGTTTTTCATATCACATTTAGTTGTTAAATAGTAATGAAATGAATGGTGACAGAAAGGGGTAACATGCCCCCTCATTGGCCATTTGTAGCCTAAATTCAGCCTTGTTCTATTGCCAAGATAACTTTGCAGAATATTTCTAATGTTCACAGTTACCAAGTACTAGTAACTGTCTTAATATTCTCTTAATTCATATACCTCATCGGCACTGATTTTCCAAGCCTTTAAGGCAACCTGACTAATTCTGAGACATTTAATTCCTGTACTGACAGAGACTTCTGCCAGAATTTAAATATTCAGGGCAGAGAGGACCAGGGTCATGAAGACGCATTTCTAACATTGGGTTTTCCGGTTTTATGCCTGTTCTCTGTCTGCAGTAAATACAGGTAGATAATCCTGGACAAAAAGTTAAACTCTGGGCAGGGACAATCTCCTTCCAGAATGAAATGGAGCCGCTCACTGTGAAAGGTAGATTCCAGCCTACATGGTTGGTCTCTCTCCAGCAGGGCAGGGGTGACTCCCAGAACTGTACTGTAAAGGAGTAGAACAGATCCCTCCCCCCGCCTTGGAACTGGTGTCACTTGGCCAATCTTAGTATCTACATGATGTGGTCAGAGAGCAAGACAATTTAGGGATTTGCAATAATCAGGAGACTGATGTTGGAAAATGTTTCCACTGTGCGCTCTTTGCTCCCAGGGGCTCATGTCTGGATGGGGAATAAGGAAGACCTGGGCCTCCACCTCTTCTTTCTATTTTCCCCACAAAAGCACACGCCCGCGCCCCACCCCACCAGGAACTTACGTCTTCGTTCGTAGTCTGGTTAGAGCTGATCAGATAGGTGTGGAAACCCGAGAGCCCCACGATGGACCAGACAGAGAAGAAGCACACCACAGCCTCCAGCACGGTGACCTGGAGTCAAGGAGGCGAACTGGCAGGGCGGTGACGTGCGCAGGGCCCCCGGGAGCTGGAGGACTGGGATTTGGACAGGAAACACCCACAGGCCCTCACTTGGTCCCCTTGTGTCCTCCCAGCCAGGGGAGACCCTCCGGGGCAGCCCAAGGCCACGTTCTCCTTCCCGTCACAGCACTTGCTCTCAGTAAGGGATTGGGGAGGGGTCCTCTGAACTGCTCGCAGCTGACAGCGCCTCTGACTGTCCTCCCCACCTGACCTTCGCCCTTTCCCTGTGACTCACCATTGTAGCCAACGGTGGTGGCATCAAAACCAGGGAGCACGCTGGCTGGTGCTGGCAGCAGCCCAGGCCGTCGCCATAAGGACACATTATTGAAGATCACTTCAGTCACAGACTCTAATTTTGGCTTCTGAAAGCTGAGGACTGTAGCACTAACAGGTTTCTCCCCAACCTGAACTGAGGCTATGACAGTCACCAGCAGGGCGGCTGCGGGCGGCTGTGCCCCGGGCAGGGCTGATCCCCTGCGCTGCCTCTCTCCGGATGGCCCTCCTACCCACGGGCTGCCCGCCCCCACCGTGGATGGACTTCTGACCTGACGGGGCATTTCTCAGTGTGGTATCAGGTACTCTTCCTTGGGGGACCTTTTCCCAGCCCCTCAGCCAACCCCGACACATAAGGCTGTCCTCAGCTGTTCAACAGGCAACTGGGAACTGGAAGCACCCCAGACATGGAGTGATGGGGAGTCTTGAGTTCCACAAGATGTGCTATAACTGAAGGAGAAAAAGCCTGGCTCTCTTCAACAGATGAGATAAATCAACCAAGTGTGGCCATTTGAAAAGATCAGAGAATTTCTCTGTCCCACATATGTTTGTAAAATTCTATTTTCAAGATACGATGTTTCTCAGGACAGAAAAAAAATCACCTTAGGTCTGGGAGTTTAAATATACATCATGCATCCCCCATCGATAAATTTCAGACCAGAGAAGGTAAATACTCATTGCAAGGAGGGAAGCCACGGATCATGCTGTAATGCCTCACGATTGACAATTTTTTCAGGATTGGATATAAGTCATCTTCAGACCAGAGAAATGAATACATTATCAAGTGAAGGGCCATCATCTGCCACGTCATGATTAACAAACGCCACTGTCCGGGCATGGGAGGCTGCCCAGAAAACAGGACGAATGACTCGGCTCCTCCTGTGACGGCCTTTCAACATCAGGATTAACTACTAGGTCTGATCTTGGAAAAGCAGAAAAACGCTCTACTTTCCTAAGGCTTAAATTTCTAGAAACTGCAAGGTCTCAGAAAAGCCCCAGCCTGAAATTAAAAGGACATCTCAAAGGAAGGATGCCCCGGGGTCAGCTGGCCAAGGTGAAACCGGCCCAGAGCAGCTGGGCCCCTTAGAGTTCTCTGACACACGGAGTTCCTGGGGGCCCCCCACCGCCCAGTCCTCATGGAGGAAGGGGGTGAGCAGGAGGGAGGAGGCACTGTACCTTCCAGGAAGAGGAAAACTAAGGTGGAGTCTGGAAAAGTGGATAAGTACAGAGGAGTGAGGAAGACCAGTGGGAGAAAAGAGTGATGCAGAGACCCCTCCCCAGGGCTGTCACCAGCCCGGGCAACCCCTTCATTTCTCCCAGGGTCTCCCAGGTGGGTGAAAGGTGAACATGAGGACACAGGGATGGTGGCCCAGGTAGCAAAGATGGTCTCGTTCTTAACCGCCTCCCAAAGGGTCAGGGCTCCCCACTCCTACCCCCTCCTCCCGCCCTCATCCTCCCACCCAAGAGGGTGCAGACTGGGAGGCAGCCACGTGGGCGTCATGCCCCACGCTGGCTCGGAAGCAGAGGCGACATGGAGCCCGGGAAAAGCGGTGAGGAAGCAGTGGGAAGACTGAGTCAGGAGAACCAGGCTGCATAAAGGGAGGTGACACTGGCAGTGACTCCGCACAGGCTGGAAAAGACAGGAGGTGGCGGGATCAAGGAGGAGGTGACAGAGGAAACGGAAACTGGGGTAGAAAAGGGAGAACGAAGAACAAGCCAGAAGATGTCTTTACTGAATGATTCACGGAAGGCCGACTTTGGTCTCAGACGTGCTTAGGTGTCACCAGCAGTTTACAACCCAGGTAGAATGATGGTCCTGTCAGACATACAAGACATCCACACGTGTGAACCAGACAGAAGCTGGCGTGTGACAGCGGAGGACTGTAGCACTGAAAGTGGCTACTGCTCCTTCTCCGGCTGCTGTTTCTTGCACTGTTACCAGTGGGTGTGGGGTATTAAAGGTTTATGGCACCCCCACCCCCCACCCCCCACCAAAATGCAGTTTTCTATATTAATATCTCATGTGCTTTGGGAACAGTTTATAAACAGCAGAATGAAGTTTCACAGTTAGCTCACAGCTGTGTCGAAATGACATGAACTCACAGTAGGACGCAAGATGTCGCCATTCTGCCTCTCTCGCTCACAGCTGATACTTGGCCCACCGGACGGGCGCTGAGGGAATCATCATCATCACTTGTAACAATGGCCGGCATCACTGGTGATGTGTCTGTTCCAAAGGCTTCACGTGGATTAACTCACTTAATCCTGAGGGCAACCCAGTGAGAAGTGTGATTCCCTTAACCAACTGGGAAACTGAGGCACAAAGCAGTTAAGTAAGTTCTCTAAGAAACAGTAGAGCAAGGATTTGAAACTTGGGAAGTGTGGTGCTGCCAGTATGGCAGAAAAGCTGTTTCCTTTCCTAATTCTTGCTGAGGGACACGTGGCTCTAGGCTGATCCCAACCTCTGCTGGAGCAGATCGGGACCCGCCTTGTCAGGGATTCCTGAACCCGTGGCATCTTAAGGCATCCATTCCCGTCAGATCCACTCTCAGATGAAGGCATGGATATCTGAACAACACATCTTCTCCCTGACCTGATAGCTCGATGTTGAAAATATCTATGCCATAATAAGATTAAGAAACATACATTTCTCTTTAATGTATCAAAACCCATTTACTGATTTCTTTTAAAAAAGAGAGACATGAGAGGAAACAGGCCAACTCCAGTAGGAGCCAATTTAATAAGCAGCTGGACATTTATTGCATAAGAGATGGGTTCCAAATTACAGCAGTTACTACTGCCAGCCTCCATCTGTCTCTCTCCAGCCCCCAATAAGACAGTGAGCCCACTTTGTGGCCAGGAATATGGCTTTAAATTCCCCGCAGTCCCTACTTCAAAATGCTGCACACTGAGGTACTCACTAGATGAATGAAGAACTGAAGACTGGAAAATGCTGATGGGCAGACCCCTCCCTCGGGTTTCTGCACAAGCCCGAAGTGCTGCTCTGTGCCTCTCTGTGCACCTGGCTCTGCACTCAGGACAGGAGAGGGTGGGGCAGGGTAAGCTCCCCGCCCTAGGGGACAGGGCTCTGTGTGCCCGTGGGAAGGTAAGCAAGGGGACACGGCCTTGCAGAGACATGGAAACTGTGTTGGGTAGAATGGCGAAGGCACCTCAGGATTTGGAGAATCATAAAACAGTTTTTTCTTATAACTTCAGGAGGCTTAAAAACTCCTCTGATGCCTCTCCATGGACACACAAGGACCCCAAGTTAAGATGTCCTGATTTATTCCATTCCCTTCATTTTACAAATAGGTTTAAATCTTTGCTCTGCTGTTTCTTAAGCAAATTACTTAACTACTTTCTGCCTCAGTTTCCCGACTGGTTAAGTGGGGATCACACTTCTCACTGGGTTGCTCTGAGGATTAACTGAGTTAATTAATCCATTTTACCTACAAATAGGTAAAATGAAGGGCTACGGCCCAGAGCAGTCAAGCCACTTACAAAAACTTACACAGCAGTTCCTGGCAGAACAGAACCAGTACATGGTCTCTAGGCTTCTAGGAGAGACAGAACCCTTCCCAAGGCCCCCAGCTATGCAGTGTCACACGACAGGCCCTAACTTTGGAGCCCCAGGGCTCACAACAGCAGGGCTAAAACTGCCTGTGACGCTGAACCTCGTTTATCAGCCCCACGGCCTCAGAGCCACCCCTGGGTGAAGAACTTGTCTCTGTTAATATGTCATCGCCCATCTCTTCACATTCCAGCAATCAGGCTGGCGACAGGATTTTTTGCCGTGTGCCAAATCCATACAACAGTTTATTTTAAAAAGTCTGTATTTCACATGGGTTTCCTCATTGACCAAAATCCCCAAATTCCAGAATGGCCAGGGAATGCTGAAGTCCAAGGCTCTGCCCCGGGCCCTTTCCTCTCTGGGCACTGGGCATCTGCACCCTGGGGGGCTGCGCTGGGCTCGGGGGTCCCTCTCTGTGGGCACCAGTCACACACCCCTGGGTCCTCATGCATCTTATTCTGCTTCCGGTCTCTGTCTTGGGTTATGAGGTTTAAAATATAAGAAACAGACATTGGTAATCATTTCCTTTTTTCTTCCTTTTTCCTAAAAATTATAGTGAAATAGGCAACACTCACTTACAGGAAGAGCTTTGATGGAAAAGCAGATATCAGCGATACACCCCTGTTTATCTAGACTGAGTGTCTACAGCAGCATTGAATGCTTTTAGATATTAGGTTCAGGAATTTTCCTCATCAATTAGGTGCCCCTATAAGCCTTAGACAGAGATAATAAACTGCAGCTTGTGCCCCTGTCCCCTGAATGCCCACCCCTGTGTCTGGAGTGGGGGCTCCTGACTTCCTGACGATTTACACAACAGACACTTTGAAAATCGAAGTCACTGAGACCCTTCAGACTGGGTCATGGGACCATTATCTTTCAGCCTCTCAACTCCTTTTTTCCTACGTGCTTATATGCCAGGCAATGGAGGTATATGATTGTCCCAAATTAATCCATGAAGTCTATAACTCCGATCAAAATTCCCACTGGAAGTTTTAAAGTGGTATTCAACAAACCAAGTCTAAAATTCATCAGGAAGAGAAAATGGACAAGAACAGGTAAGAAATTTTGCAAAATAGCATCACAGGGGTGGGAGCCAGAGAAGACTTTTCTAGTAAAGCAGACAGACGAGGTGAGAACAGTCTAAACAGGCTCACGGGCACACGGGGTGAAGGGGCTTTTCCAACTAGAGGGGCAAGAACAGACCGCTGTTTCTCAAAGTGTGGCTTGCAGACCCTTAGGGCCCCCAAGATCCTTTTAGGGGATCCTCCAGGTCAAAACTATTTTCCCATCAACATCAACATCAAAACATTATTCCCCAGCTTCACTCTCATTCATGCGATGGCTGCTTCTGGAGGTTGCGTGATGCAAGACGATGCCCTTACTCACTCCTGTGCTAACAGAATGAGTGTGTGTGCATTCCTGTGGTTTAAAATATTCTCAGTTTTTCCATTTTGAAAAGATACAGGCACCCCAATGTTCATAGCAGCACTATTTACAAGAGCCAAGGCATGGAAACACCTGAATGTACAGCAACAGATGACTGGATAAAGTTGTGGTATATTTATATACAATGGGATACTACTCAGCCATTGAAAAGAATAAAATAATGCCATTTGCAGCAACATGGATGGACCTAGAGATTATCATACTAAGTGAAATAAATCAGAAAAAGAAAAATATCATATGATACCACATATGTGGAATCTTTAAAAAAAAGACACAAATGAACTCATTTACAAAACTGAAACTGACTCACAGATGTAGAAAATAAATTTATGGTTACTAGTGGGGAACGGGAGGAAGGATAAATTAGGAGTTTAGGATTAGCAGATACAAACACAGTTTCGGATTAGCAGACACTATCTGCAGAATAGATAAACAACAAGGTCTTACTGTATAGCACAGAGAACCATATTAAATAACTTATAATAACCTATAATGAAAAAGAATATGAAAAAGTATATATGTATAACTGAATCACTATGCTGTACACCAGAAACTAACACAACATTGTAAATCAACTGTACTTCAATTAAAAATTTTCTCAGTTTTCATTTCAAACACAATATATAGAAATAGATATAATCTACATGAACAGAAGCTCTCTGGGGTCTTTAATGATTTTTAAGAGTGTAAAAGAGTCCTGAGACCAAGAAGTTTGAGAGCTGCCAGAATAGAATAGTAAGTGATATTGGGACATTTCACTAAACATTCGGGAAAAAATGAAGATAGAACTTTAGCTCATAGCACATACACAAAATTATATTACAGACAAATTACTGTCCAAACTTAAGAAACAAAATATAAAAGTATTAGAAGAAAATTAAGGAAATATTGGTATCATTTTGGGGTGAGGATATAAGGCACAAAACCTAGGAGCCATGGAGTATGAGATTCATAGGCTGAATTTGTTAATAAATCATCCTTTTTTTGTATGAAAAAGTAAAGTTAAAAGGTAAGTGACAGATTGGGAGAAAAGTACTGGAAAAATAATTTATAAGATTATTACTGAGACTATATAAAGAACATGTTACTAGGAAAAGAACAAACTACCCAATTAAAAAATGGACAAAGAGTTAGAACTAGAACATTGAGAAGGGGAAAAAAATGGTTAACAATCATGAACATATGTGCAAGTTGATTATTATCCAGAAAATGAAACTAAAACCTCTACCTGAGAATGAAATTTCAAGGGAAAATAAGCTAAAATTTGCTCCAAACCAAATAAGAGCATCTCTCTCCTACCTCCCCTTTCCACGCGAACCACTCCTCTAGCAAAGTTAGCACGTCACTCAAATACACCGTCACTAGTGGCAGCAGCAGCATCTGTCTACTCCCCTTTCTGGGGAACACAATGCTTGTGATTATGCAGACCGCGAGCACAGCCAGACCAGGAGAATGAGCAGGTGTGCGTGGTCTCAAAGAACGTTCTGGCGGAGCCTGCCCAGTGCAAATGTTGCCTCCAAAAGAATCCTCTTTGAAACCACTCCTGCCATGCATGTAAGCAATGCTTTGGCATCGAGGCTTCTCACTTACATTCCATGTAATTGATTTTGTCAGCACAGCATTGTCAAGTACTGAATAGTTGACTGTAACAGGTCAAAACATTGAGACACAAAAGAGCTAAAAGAAATGGCCCCTAACCTTATAGGTTAATTGTGGTAGAGCAGGGATTAAAAGCCTTTTATCCCAGGGTAGGTGGTCCTTGTGATTGTCATAGGATAAGACCATGAGTTGGGAGGTCTGGGGCAGACACCAGGAAGACTCAAACCCAACCACACCCACCCGGCTCCTCTCTGCTCCAGGGGGAGTGCGGGGCCAGAAGGTGGAGGGAGGAGTCCAGGTCCTCGATGGCTCCATTGTCTGAAAGGCCCCGCGGGCATCCCACACAGGCACAGGTCTCAGGAAAGGCACAGGGGCTGGGGACAGAGGAGGGGAAGTGACTGAGGCTGCCACACTCTTGAGGCTTCAGAAAGCATTCCAATTGGCAGCCCAGACCTCAATTTCAGTTCTGCGTTGCATTTATAAAGCTTCACAAGATCAGCGTGTTTTCATGATGTAACTGATTTCCTGAAAGACCTAGACAAGCCTCTTCTTCAGGGAAGAAAAGACAGGCATGGCGGTAAGAAATGACAAAGGAACATGCCTTGAAAATCGAAGAATAAGGAGAGGAGACGATGGTGGAGGGTGGTCACCCTTGGCAAGGTGGGAAGGGAAACCAAGGATGGCATTTCCCACGGGACCTGTTCTCAGCAGCCACCGATGTCAAGAATTTCATCCCCAGGACAACCTTTCCTTCTGGCCAACTTCTAGCTAAATCTAGCTTCTCAGATCATTACGAGAAGACAAGAAATACCTGTCAAATGTATTGTCCAAGACCCTGTGTATATCCTCATATGGCCTTGTCCCCTTTTCAGGAGATTAGCGCAACCAACATTCTGTGCTGCCCATTAACACAGAGGCCCAAAAAAGGAGACACTTTATATTATGAAAAAAAAAATATGTGACCACATTTGCTTTTAGATCTACCTAAATTACACACACACACACACACACACACCCCAGCTTCCAGGGACACAGACTGGTTTACTTTAACAGCTAAATGATGTACACGATATGTATGTCTTAGCAAAGTTCTTCACTCTTTAAGAACTCTCTACCACAAGACGAAGCTTACTCCTGGGAGTAACAAGGAGTTAAGTTCAGTCCAGTCGGTCACGGGAAGAAGAAAGACAGCTGGATCCTGGACACAGCCGGGTCAGCGGGTCCAGCTGTCCGACTTTACACCACCTAGTGTCAAGCCCAGGGGACCGGGAGGGAGAGGGGGCTCATTCAAGCTCTTAATGGGTGAGCGTTTTAAGAAGTTCACAGTACTGCGCTACATGCCCACATGTACTGTTTGGGAGGGTGGGATTGAGACTTGAGATTTACCTTCTTTAGTCCATTCAGGGCTATGAAAAGGTGTTCTGTTCCTAAAAATAAGTACAGGGTTATCCTTACTGCCCAGAGGAACGCCAAGCTGTGTCTCCAGACAGAACCCACAGAGGGTCAGAGGCTCCCCATGTGGTGACCACACCAAGAAGGGACCCACACGGGGGCAGCCGCAAACATTCTGTAGGGACCACCCGCTGATGAAAATGAAGTCAGCTGGAACTCGCAGCCTGACTCCTCCCCACACCAACCTGATTTAATGCAAATCAGTGTGGGTTCCTGGGGGTGGGCAAGAACTCACACTTAGTTCTCTAGCTAAAGAGCACGTCAACCCAAACAAGACTAAATGAGTCACTTCAAAGCCATTACTCACGCAAGTGAAGATTAAGGAGTTCTTTGGATGCTTTGCAGAAGGAAAAGGAACGTGATTTATGAGAAGGAAAGACAACGCACAAGATGAAGAGGTAACTGGGCAGAAGGCCAGTCCAATCCTTAACACGTCGGCATCGTTAAAAACCACCACCAGAAAGGATATCTTGCAGGGCTGTCTTTAAGAGCGTTTAGGAATCCTGCTTGCTGTGAACCTGTGGGAGCGAAACCAAAATTTAGTATTCAAACATTCACCTCCAGAAAACAACCTTCATGCCAAAAGCTCTCTCATCTACATAAAAATAATAGGTGTCCACAGATCAATTAAATAATTCCTTTTTGTAGCGCTACAGCACCCAGTATACGGATCAGAGACTGAAAATCCACTGAAGTTATTCAGCAAGAAAATGGCAGATTTATACGTAGACCTAACATCTGCAGGGTGGATGTCTGCATACCTCCCCCATAAATTATAGTTCTGATTACTCCTTTGTCTTCCTCATTTTAACGGGAAAACAGAATACTGTAGGCAATTTTTTTCCCTCTTCTTTTATGAAAGATTGTTTTCCCAAAGTTTGTTAACTTTTGACCCTGGGCGTCCTGTAGACTAGTCTACGTATAAAAGACGTCTTTCTCTGCACCCAGAGTAAACAAACTCATAAAGCTGAAGTTTATTACTGACTCCTTTTGGGTTTGAGACATTTTAACGTGAACTGTCTACGCAAGAAAACATTTCTTTAGGGGCTTGAGTAAAGATGCATCTGACAAGGAGCGATTTTTTATTTTCTGAGTTTGCATTATGCTTTTTAAAAAGACAAGCCCATCTGGAGGAACTCTTGCTGCTCCCACGTGGGCGTGGCAACACTGGGTCCCTGCTGTGCTGCAGAAGCCGTGTGTTTTGGGGATGTAATCTGGCCCTGGGGCAGCAGTGAGACGACCAGGGAGAATGGAGGCCAGAGGACTGGTTCTAGTGCATCTCTGTGGTGTTGTCAGCTGGCGTGGCTGCAACGTGGGAGTTAGAGGCAGGGTCCTGGGCCCCTCTGTGTAACTGGGAACCGTGCCTGGCTACTGGGATGCTAAGAGTGGGATGGTTCCAATTCTTCCTCAAGTTCCCATCACCTCTGTGCCATCTCCCCCTCCACTCTGTGCCCACTGGTCACCATGGAGACACAAGGATGTGCCGTGTGCTAGGATGCCAACTGGTGGGAGAACTAATAAGGAAAACTTAAGGTCTCCCTTTCTACCCCTGTTAGATCAGGAGGACCAAACCAGTAAGTGGACCTGCTGCTGATCTCAGAGCAAACGCAATCTTGATGCAAAATGAGGGACTAAAAGAAATGATTTTTCTTTCCCCACTGAACCCAAATTCTACTGCTTTCCCCAACTCTCCCTCTTTTTTAAGGAAATTCAGATGTCACCTTCCCAGGAATCTCTAAGATAACAGGATTCTCTCCTGGTCGCCCCTCCCTGTCATGTGTCCCATCTCAGAGCCCACTTTCTTGCAAAGAGGACTCAGCGGACAGTCCTCCAGCTGCTCTCAAACAGCTCTCTGCCTTTGCCAAGGCTTCCAGAATCTTAGGGGGATCACGGAACCATGTAAAACCTCTGCCCTTCCTGAAAACAAACGGTGGGTCGAGGTGGGGTTTTTCAGTGCGGTTATTATGGGGGTGCAGAACCGGGGAGGGGAAAAATCTTTATTTGCCAAAATATTTGGGTATCTTGCAGGCAGATAAATTCTGAATGCTTTTGGTGGGGGGAGATTGGATTAACAATGTGTCAGCATAAACTACAGCAAACTCCATTTTGCCGAAACCAGAGTGAGTAAACGTTTAGAGGAGATGGAAGTGAAATGTACATCACACTCTAACTGTGGTGGCAGGTGGCCAGCTTCCCTGTGTGTGTGTGTGTGTGTGTGTGTGTGTGTGTGTCTGTGTTCTCAGAGTTTATGGGCAAAGCCATAATTACAATGTTATTATATATGTATATACATAAATACAAAAGCATTTTGAAGTTGCTAAAGATAATGTAAGAGATAATGTTTAAAGACTGTTTTTTAGTGTCATAAATGTGCTGGACTACTGGCACTTCTTTCTTCTCTAGTTGTGTTACAATTGCTTCTACTGTCTACTAACACACAGCCAGGACCCAAGCTACACTTTTGCCATTTTGAGTCCCTGAAAATGGACCAGGTGCCTCTGCAAAGCCAGGGGCGCATCCTTCCCAGGGGTGTGGAAGAAGTCTCTAACCAGTGTTCCTCTTCTTGCCACCCCACCAAGTTATGGCTCTCAGGCATAGATTACAAATTTGTGTCACATTCATATTTCAGTCTGAAAGAATGGGAACTAGGATTTAAAATGCTTATGAAAATTTGGGATAGTCCATTCATGTCCAAAATTGACAAATATTTAAAAAGAACGAACATGAAACTTTCCACACCACCTGCTTCCCCAGCCCCCGGACCGTACACCCCACAGAGAGAGCAGGGGAGGCGCACACGGTGGATTTCGCACTGCTGCAGGGGAAGGAAGTGAGGCCTGTGTCCAGATGCTTCTGCAAACATCCCAGAAAGAGGCTCTGTACTTGCTAATGGGCGGTGGTGCTTCAGGAATGTGGACAAAGGCAATGCTGGTCGTTAATGTTGCTAATGGCACCAGACCGGAAATTTAAAGTCTCACATTCATAGGTCAAAGCCAAGTAGCGTCTTCTCATCCCTCCTTATTGTGGGAAAGTGAATAGCCCAGAGACAGAAGAAATTCAAAGTTATGCCCTTCAGAAAGGGAACGAAAAATGCCATTTGCTTAGACAAATAAAGTCACTGACATCCAAATTTCATTTTTAATGAAGTTGCTTCCTTCATATGCCAGGGGCAATTTGCCAGTGTTCTAGCGGATAATTAAACATCTTATCAAATGTATATCTTTAACATTCGTAGGTTTGTGTGTAAGAAAGCTCAGGCTTTATCCCCAGACTTTCTTTTCTTTAAGGAGGGTGACTATCCCTGCTTAAGTAGATATCATGTTAAGGAAAAAAAAAAGCTCTGTTGTTTAATGGTTATCATTACAGCATATTATCCTTTGTGCAAATGTGGGGTGATTCTTTCCAGGGATCCCTTAACAGAAGAGAAAGTGAAGTCACAAGTTTGAGTTGAGGACCAATGTATCAAGGAGAAAGTCCCGTAAGTAGAAGGGCCTGGTCCAGGGGTGCCCCTGGCAACTGCTGTGGGAAGGATGTGGATGGGGGTGGGAGGGAGGAGGAGGGGTGCCAAGGGATGGAGGGCGGGGAGAAATGAAAAGGAGGCAGGCAGGAAGGGAGGAGGGGGCAGGGAGAAGGGGAAAGAGAAGAAAGAGAGAGCCCAGAATGACCAAAATATTAAATTAAAATTAAATCAGAAACCCAAATCAGGCAAATGGTTACATATGTAATCTGATTTTGCCAGCATACTTACGAAGAATGACGTGGGTGATAACGAATGCAAATATAAAGACTGTCAGAAAAGACAGAGATAAAATAAACATATAAAAAAATCTGTAGTTTCTTTTCCCCACACAGTTGCCTACCCAGGGACAGTGGTGATCAAACCGTTCTGAAATGAGAAGCAGAAAAAAAAGAAAGGAAATCAATTAATAAAACGTCTTTTTACTTGAGGGAGTCCCCCCCAGTACTGCAATAATATAACAAAATGATATCACTCGATGGACGTATTTTCCAGTTCACCACTCAGAGAAATGCGTTAACATTAAGACATCTCAAGAACATAATTATTCTTTCAACAGAGCTTGGCTGTTTTG